AGTAAAGGAATGGAGCCGGTCAGGAGTCAGAGCATCAAGATAACCTTTGAGGGGGACATGGCGACCACACCCATAAGAGTGGCAGCCACCAAGTCGGCGAGGGGGTCTACATCGAAGAAAACTCACATGGATTACGTGGTGGCGGAGAAGGACGGGCAGTGGGTCGATGGAGAGGAGGTTATCCTTTCGCCGCGAAAGCGGGGAGTGAAGAAGTTCTTAATGAAGAGTTCGCTGGACGAGATTGACACGGTCGAGCCACTGAGGCGGGCCCTTCGGCAACCCATGCAGTGCTCTATTCTGGCGTACCTGGCGGCATCGAAGCCAGCTCGTGATGAGTTACAGATGATCACGTGGAAGACTCGCATACCTCTATCGGAGGAGGGTCAGGGGGCCCCTAAGGCGGAAGCYTCTACAGTAGCAGTAACGGGGGTGACTGCCAGAGCGGATCGCATGGCGACAGTCCTTCTCGACGGAATGGAAGGTGTGCCTCCAGACAAGTTTTACATACTTGGTAGCGGGGCCGTGGAGACGATTATAAACGATGGAGCGGTACTCGATGCTGTGATTGATAACGGCAGTAAGGCTGTCATCATAGACGAGGACCTGGCGGTACAAGTTGGACTGGGCCTCGATAGGTCATACCTATTCGAGATAGAGACGGCCGATGGGAGAAAACAACAGATCACTGGGGTTTGTCACAAGGCAGCCATAGAGGTCCAAGGGGTACGAGTGACCCTGCCAGTCTTTGCAGTCAAGAACTGCAGCTCCGACCTGCTCTTGGGTCGAACGTGGCTGAGCCACGTGCATGCGGTGACGATAGAGCGACCTGATGGGAGTCAAACATTGTCCATTAAGAAGCCAGACGGGACGCGGGTAATGATTGAGACAGTGGAGCCTCGGGACCCGAGGAACAGAGCAGCTCTCGCTGTGGGTGCAAGACCCAGTGATCAGATTAAATCGTTGCCTATCTCCAGCCGCGCGGTGCGATTTCGCGAGAAGAAATATGGACCACTACTCACAGAGGAAGAAGGTCAGGTGGTGGAGGTCGAAGACTTAGGGAGTCGGCTAATAGTGGACGGCAACTCGTACCCGAAGGAAAAAGATGAGGAATTTGGCGGTGTGGTATCCGTGTCTTTTTTAAGGGCACGACCCCCTATGGGGGAGCTACCCAAGCGACACAAACGAGTAGCGCAAAAAATTAAGCCAGCGACGGTGGGCCGTGAGCGATCTACACTAGAAGGGATATCGGAAGAAGAGATCGCAAAATAAATCAAAGAAAGAAAGAAAAAGGAGCCACATCGCCTAACGGAAGAGAGAATAGCAGGGATGGATATCGGAGATGGAAATCTGACCCCACAGGAGCGAAAACGTGTGATAGAAATTCTCAAGACATATGATAAGGCCATAGCTTTCAGCGACGCGGAGCGCGGTAGGATAGATCCTTGATACGCTAAGCCAGCGAGGATTTATACGATTCCACATGTTCCTTGGAATGACGCGGGATGGAAATACGCCCAGAAGGAGAAGGAAAAAGTTATCGCTTTCCTGAAAGAAAAGATGATTTCCCACGTTGCGGAGCCGTCTGATAGCGCTTATGCTAATCGATGGCTCTTCCTACGGAAACCGAATGGCAAGATTCGATGGATCCAGGACCTTCAGAAGGTCAACGCGGTGACGATACGAGACGTGGGCTCCGTGCCACACGCCGATTTACTTGCAGAAGGCACAACAGGTAGGTCGATCTATTCGGTCTGTGATCTGTTCTCAGGCTATGATGAGGTACCGCTTGACCCTAGGGACAGATACCTCACGGCTATGCATACGCCATTGGGACTAATACAGATGATGGTTGTCCCTATGGGGTGGACTAATGGCATAACCGTTTTTCAGAGAGCCATGGTGGCCGTCCTCAAGGACTTCATCCCTGATAAGGTTGAAGTTTTTCTGGATGACTTTCCTATAAAAGGGCCAGTAGACAGGGAGGAGACAGAGGTTGTACCTGGAGTTAGAAGATTCGTCGAGCAGCACCTAACAGATATTTGCGCGGTACTCGAGCAGCTGGACGATGCGAATTTGACAGTCAGCGGAACCAAGAGCCGATGGGCCGTCTCGACCATTAAGATCTTGGACTTTATATGTGACTCGAGAGGACGCCGAGCAGACCCGGCAAAGTTAGACAAACTCCTGAACTGGCTGTCACTGTTACATAGTCCAACCGAGGTCCGACAGTTTCTGGGAGTGGTTGGTTACTGGCGTATATTCATACGGGGGTATGAGGAAAAGGCTGATCCATTGAGGTTACGCCTTCGGAAGACTGAAAAATTCTACTGGGATTCTTCGAAGGAACTCGCAATGCAAGAACTTAAAGCTGAATTTAAGGAGGGAGGACGCGTGTTGGGCGTGCCATTCTTTGACGATGAGACCAAGAGACCCTTCATAGTATCCACGGATGTTGGACCATGTTCAGTGGGTGGTTTGCTGTCTCAGAAGGACGCTGGAGGGAAGGAAAGACCGTTAAGATTTGAGAGTAGGACACTTAATACGGCTGAGCGTAACTACAGTCAATTCAAGAAGGAAGTGTTAGCTGTTCTCCGGTGTCTAGACACGTTCAGACACTATACCTATGGGCGACGGTTCATCTTGAGAGTAGACCCCACCGCGGTTGCCTCTGTCCTCCAGAAGGACTTTAGTCTGACGGACCCGACCATCGCCCGATGGTTAATACGGATTCGGTTATACGATTACACGGTTGAGAGAGTATCTGGTACGAAAAATGTCGTGGCAGATGGACTTTCACGCATCCCTCTCGAGCGTCCGATAGTAGCTGGGGCTCTGACAATGCCAGAGCCGAGGCGCGCTGAGGGATTTCTAGTTAATCTTTACGAGGGCAAGTACCGAATGATCGGACTACACCTGACGGGAGAGGAGAGTCAAGATTCAGAAATCCGGAGGCAAGCAGCCCAGTACTGCCTTAGAGCGGGCCACCTTTTCCGAAGGCCAGTAGCGTCGGGAATGCCCTTACGAGTAGCCTGTGATCCTGAGGAAAGACAGACGATAGTTGCGGAACTTCACGACGGGGTAGTCGGAGGACACAGGGGAGTTAAAGGAACCTACGAAAAGATACGCCGACTGTACTGGTGGGAAGGACAGTATAAGGACGTCGAGAGGTACTATATGACATGCGAAGAGTGCCAGAAGAGAGCTCTTGTGAAATACAAAGAGCCACTTCATCCATCCTATCCGACCAGACCAGGAGAGAAGGTACACATCGATCTAGTGAAAATGCCGAGAGGAGTAGGCAATATAACATACGAGACGATTTCACTGGGTTCGTAGACGGTAGACCTATCAGGAGTAAGGCGGCAAAGGAAGTAAAGAACTTTGTCCTAGAGTACTTATCTAGGTATGGTTGTGTCAGCAAGATAATGATGGACAGAGGGGCGGAATTCCTAGCCGACGAGGTTCAGAGCGTGTTTAGGAGAGCCGGTGCGAGAGTTTCGATAGCCACCGCCTATCACCCACAGTCRAACTCCCCAGTAGAGAGGGGACACCAGACTCTGATAGCGTCACTGTCCAAGTGGTGCAAGGGTAAGGRCAGTGATTGGCCACGATATTTTCGATACRCAATATGGGCGGACAACGYCACGGTTCGGGCTAGTACCGGATACCCACCGTACACCTTGTGGTTTGGGCGACATTGTCCGCTTCCCATAGAGTTTCATSTMGACAGCTGGACAACCGTCGACTGGGYAGAGGAGATGTCCARAGAGGAACTCTTRGCTGCYCGAACAAGACAGATAGCCTACGGGTTGGAAGACAACCTCATGACAGCAGCCGATCGTCTGGCGGCRGAAAGGGACAAGGGTAAAGAGAGATGGGATAAGAACGTCCGAATCAGGAAAGAGAGTGTGAGCGTAGGAGATATGGTCCTTCTCTACGACGCGGCACTGGAGAGGACCTGGACCGGAAAGCTTGCCAATAGATGGATGGGACCTTACAGAGTGGTTGAGGCACTTGACTGGGGTGCATATATGATAGCAGAACTAGACGGATCTAAGTGGAAGGACCTAGTGGCGGGGGCTAGGTTAAAGTTGTTTAGGCCCAGGCCCTCGCCCGCCTTATCGCTTACCAGCCTGAAAGGGAAAGGAAAAGCCATAAAGGAGGATGAAGCCTCCTTCAGGCAATTCGAGGCAGGAGAGAGTTCCAAGAAAAGGAAAAGAATAGAGAAGAGAGAGGTCAAAGGGATAACTTTAGGAAGAAAGAAGAGATGGTTACTCGTAGTCAAGCGAGCTAGACGGAGAGTTCGCGTTAGACGTACTAGCGGGTCGACACCCTTCTCGGGGCAAGGACAAAGGAAAAAGAGAATCGTGCCGGGACAAAAAACGAGAAGAAACAAGAGAGTCGAGAAGCATCTTCTTAGCCCCAGGACTCATAACAAACTGAAACATAAGACAATTAAACGCCGACGTGGGCGTCCTTTACAGGCTATCACCCTGAAGCTCGTCCGCTTCGTTTGACGTATAAGTGGTTGGGGCTCGACGGGGGCGTCGAAAAGTGGTCCGGGCTAACTATCAGGCGGCCACAAGCAGTGCGCCGCCTGAAATTTGCGGCTTTGGGACTTAGGCTCAAGAGCAAGTCTGTGTTTTGACGGTACTCTGGTTTGACTGGGTGACAGAAATTAGGGGAACTCAGGGTACCCCTGATTCTGGGCACACTGAATCTTACAAGTAACCCTCAAAGAAAGCGAGATGGGTGGGCGCACTTGGCATATCTAGAGACCGTAATTTCCGGCCGTTCGGAGGGCTGGAGCTGGATTAGCCGGAGTATCTAGAGACCGTAATTTCCGGCCGTTCGGAGGGCTGGAGCCGGACTAGCCTGCTGCGGAGAGGCATCGCGGAGACGGACCTCGCCGCAACATTTTTGCAGCATACGACCTCAGCCGAAATGAGGCCTCAAATTTTTGTCTATTTTAGTACCAAAATTAAAGATGAGGAGAAGGGATTAAGACCAGTAGGGGAGAAGAGAAAAACATAATATCCCTTAATTTCTTTATTTTTCACGGCATTTACTTATAGGGGGAATACCCTTGTTATTTTATGTTTCCGGCAATGAAATTGAAAATGGGGAAAAGACTAAAAATGAAGAAGGGAAAAGGGGAACAAGAGAATTTCAACTATTCCTTTTTAAACCCTTCGGGAATTAATTTTTGAGAATTTGCGATTATTATGTTAATTCGGACAATAGAATTAAGAAAAGAGAAGGGTAATTAAAAAGTGAACAGACGAACAAAAATTAATGATTACCCGATGCATGCTCTGACTTCGCATGGATTAACCGCCGTTGGGGCGGAACCCAGATCTGATCGAATTCTCTGAACTTTCCGGTTTATCTGATTATGATTACTAACCTCACTGAGTTAGCCCGTAGTCGCGTGGACGGCGTRGGATKGTGCTACCTTGGACTGACAGGATGRCATTTGGCATGGTACGGATACGTGGCTCGGAGAGATTYGGTATTGTTGCGAACTGGCTACGTCCTACGGTATTCGGTGTGAATCTGGTTCGGAATGGGCTCGGCGGCACATTGCTTCAGGCTTGGGGCCRCTACGGTGACTTATTTCTGAGTGGGCGGCTACGATGGAGATTTATTACCAGGTTCGGGACCTTTCCCGTAGAGTACTTCCACGCCCGGCGCCACTATGACGGTGTGTTTCAGGATCGGTACTACCACGGCATTGCTGCACAAGTACGGTATTCGGCGTTGGCGACGGCACAGGCTGYTGTAATTCAGAGAGGTCGGGTTCGGCTCAGGTATGGTGACACAAAGCTAGCATGACTACGGGTCCCGCATTCTTGGCGTCGGTACGATCACTTGTCCGGTCCGGTGCTGATATTTTGACGCGGTGTCGAATTTGGAATGGGTTCGCCTTGGTATGTTTTGACTTGACGGGGGCCTGGGATGTTGGTTCGGTGACGGTATAGCACACTGWGGCCTGGCCCTGATACTTCGAGAGGTCCAAGGCTCGGCTTTGATATGACCACTGCGGCTTGGCACCGCTAACCTCGTCAAGATACTTGGTATACTTGGGCTGTTGGAACGRCATTGAGTCTGGACTACAGCAGTGCGCTACTTTATCTTCGGCTCGATTTTGAACCGCCTTTTTTTTTTTTTCCTTTCTCACTTTACGACTCTATTTTGGTATGGTAGCAGGTTCACTACAGGCTCGAGACTTGTGTGCCTGGAACGACGCCTGCACCTCAGTTCATGACCGTGGCTGGGTGGGTTTGTTACTTTGGAACGATCTTGTATCCGGTACTGACAGGACACGCTTCCGRCTCAAGTACGATAATTGGCCTCGGTAGGGTAAGGCTGCTGGTCCGGCGCAGGTATGGAACYGGGGTTTTGTTTTCATTTCTCAGGCCCTGCACCTGCGAAAATTGGTGCTGCTCCCGCTGTTGGGCCGTTGGGCCCTAAGTAAATCCCACTGCACCGGCGTTGAACCTAAGAGCTTGAGTTTGCGAGAGCCCTCGGTCTGCTGTGACCCGCGGACTGGGCTGGTGTTCACATATAGTCTGACCAGKGAGGCATTGAGGAAAGGGGGGAAGACCAGTACGGGGGACATCAGACGGGCGCGCAAGGCGTACCCAGCCCACAACCATGGCGTTCGAGAAACAGTCAGCGTGAGAGCCGCGTGAGGGGCTTACTGTATGAGCGCCTGAACAATGAAGAGGACGCGTGGACGAACCAGCTTGGGGGGGAGAGGGGATTCAGACAGAGGAGGTTTGAGGACGTGCCTGGTGTACGCCGCCACAAGGACAACCCGTTTCAGCCAGGGGGAACGGCGCGCTAGGGAGGAGGCAATGAGACAGATTCGGGCGTGCCAAGGGGACGTGCTCGGCGTACCAGTCCGCTGATGCTCTCAGGGCAGAGAGCAGATCGCCCGGTTGACGAGAGGGAGAGAGAGAGAGAGTGAAGAGGAGGACATTCGACAACGGGGCGACGAGAGCCTCACTCAGGTGACCAGGGAGAACAGGGTGCACTGGAGCAAGCGAAAGTGGCGAACGCTGCTCGCTGGTATGGATGCGTGAGTGGCAGTCACACTAGCTGCTGCCCATGCGAGTTCTCCGCTGGCGGGGAAGAGAAGAGGGCGAGGCAGACACAGAGGGAATTCAGCRTGTACACAGCGTACGCAGCCCTCAACACTACATTTGCACGGAGCACGCAGCCCAAGGAGCGGGGAACCAGAGTATTGCCCGCCCCAGTTCGCTGTCCTTGCCCCACCTAGTGGTCAAAGCAAGTTCACAGGGTTGGTTGTGGTAGGTGCTCACTTATGCGGGTAATCAGYGCACGGGAAATGCTAATTAATCCATCCAGCACGACTTGCTGGCCAGCTTCCACGTTCGCGAAAGGATGCACAGCGAGAGCCAATCAAGGGTACCCATCAACTTACGGGAAAGAGGTAATCGGCATACGGGAGGAACACTCCAATTAAGCAAYGAACCAAAGTCRGAACAAGCWGGCATTGCAACCAATCAACTGRGCTATGTACGTTSGACAGATYGTGATTGACAACGAGCATGGGTAAACGGCTATTTATTTATTTATACTGCAGCCCGTGTGGGTGAGTGGTGGACACAAGGCAGCTATGGATTGGGWYAAACACATGATGATTTTAAAGCATGACGRGATCAGACCGAGACATATATTAGCGAGGCAGGCTGAAAAGAGTGAGACAGAAGAGAGTAAGTAGAAGAGAGAGAGAGGGACTGTGTGTGAGAGAGAAGGACTAGTCGGAGTGAGAGAGAGGGACTGTTCAGAGTGAGAGAGAGGGACTGTGTGGGGTGAGAGAGAGGGACTGTGCAGAGCGGGAGAGACTGACTGCGCAGTGTGAGAGAGAGAGAGTGCAGTGAGAGAGAGARAAAGAGAACGGGGTTGAGAGAGGCTCAGAGAGACCACACAGACAGGGAGAGAGTGAGAAAGAGAGCAGGTAGGCTTGRGGTACTTGGGATTTGCATGAATTTGGGTGTTGTTGTTGTCCCGATCCCACAAAACATATTAYCCGGCTAATGACAGCATTTTCCACACCTTGAGCCGGACCTCTCCATAGCAACCGTAGTAACGATGCGCTGCGTGAAAAATTCAACGGGATGCTAAACGGGCNGATTAGCCGGCATATCTAGAGACCGTACCGGCCGTTCGGAGGGCTGGAGCCGGATTAGCCTGCCGCGGAGAGGCATCACGGAAACGGACCTCGCCGCTACCAAAATTAAAGATGGGGAGAAGGGATTAAGACCAGTAGGGGAGAAGAGAAAAACATAATATCCCTTAATTTCTTTATTTTTCATGGCATTTGCTTATAGGGGGAATACCCTTGTTATTTTATGTTTCCG